ACTAAAATTAAAAAGCTTCGAGAAAATAAGAGAATACATCTCAGACTGGTTCCATTACCAACAGATATTTGAAAAATTTAAATCTGATAAACAAAAGGGGTTCTCTACAGAAACTTCTCGATTTGAATCTGATCTTGTAAATTCTAAAAGAAAAACTCTTTCCAAAACTTACCAACACCTCCTTGACTGGAAAGTCAAAGAGGAGGAGGTAACAGCGGCCATGGTGAGGTGGTCACAAGATTTTGGCCATTCAATAATTATGTCCCAATGGGAAAATCTGTGGAAGAACAATTGGAAATTCAAAAATTGTTATACTATTAGAGAGAACTTTCTAAAAATGCAACACCGATGGTACTTAACACCTGGAAACTTTCAAAAATGTATAAAAATGTGCCAAGTAATTGCTGGAGATGCGGTGATAATTCAGGAACTTTCTACCACATGTGGTGGTTATGTAAGAAAATACTGATATTCTGGGAGAGTATTCACTCAGAACTGCCAAAAATTCTAAGGATCTCTTTTATTTAAAAACAACAACAGAGGGCTATCTCCTGGGAGTTACAAATTTGGATATTCCGCAAAAAAATGAAGGGTATCTTTTTATACGCTACGGCGGCAGCAAGAGTTCTCATCGCGGCAAAATGGAAGAGTATTGAAATTCCCTCTATACATGAATGGATTCAAAAGCTGACAGAATATGCTGAATTAGATGGTGTACCAGAAAAAATAAAGAATAAATCAAAGCTGGAATTTGTTTCAAAATGGGAGGTTTTCAAAGAATATTTGAAATATAATTACAGTAGTTTTTTTTTTTAAATGATATTTATTGGAAAAAAATTTTTTAATTACACACAAAAAAAGACAAGACAGAAAAATAAAAATAAAAAATAAAACCATCATTCTCAAATTCTCCACTTTCAATACCTTTCTTTGACCTCCTCCTCCTCCCTTTTCTTGTATCCTGATTAATAATAATCACAGCAAATCCTTTCCATAATTCATAGTATTCTGTCATTACATTAGCTTAATCTATTTTCATCTTATCTTATAAAAAAAACCCCTTAAAGTTTAAAACTTAAATCTTATTTTTACCAACTTCTCCTAGCCATAACATTCTTACCAAATTCTTTAGACATTTTTACAAGAGCCAAGTAATTTCATTTCAACATTTCAGCATTCATCAATTTTATAGAACAATCCTAATGATAAAAAAAAGAAATAAACAATCCAATCTTCATCCAGCGTCCCTTCCTCCTGGTCCCGGGTTTTGTCAGTCCTTTTTATCTTATTAGTCTAGCACATTAACCTGGTAATCTTATATCCGAAGCCCTCAAGTCTCTTCCATGTCCCTTCCGGAGCTCTTCTTCATATTTTCCTTTCATTCGTGGGAACTCCAGCTTGGTAATGTTTTTGACCCTTTTCAACAAATCAGCCCCTTTTCCATAGTCCAGACTAGACTCCATGTGGTATTTAAAAACATGTTTCAGATTCCCTCCAAAATTGAGAGCCCCCACAGCTCCAAACATCTGACGGCCCATTGCCAGACTCGAAAAGTCCAAATCTCCCTGTATAGGGGGGTCTGTCCAACCCCCCATTTCCAAACCAAACCAAACTTTATCTTTCCAAGTCTGGTTTTTCCAAGTTCATTTGTCAAATCCAAAAATTTATGTTCCTGCTGGGCCGCAGCTCCCTCCGTCTCTGGCGCCCAAGATTCAGCAGCATCCTCTTCTCTCAGCTGTTCTGTCATGGCACACTCCTGTTTTAGCTCCTGGGTGGGCTCCATATAATTTCCCACTACCGGTTCAAAGGTTCTGGCCACATTAGTCATCAAATCCGTCTTCTGGCTTAACTGATCCAATAGGGCATTTATTTTGCAGAGAGCACTCAACAGTGCTTCTGAAGACATTGTCGTGCAAGGTCACAAATCCTTTGCCACGGTTGTAATCTGTGGCAGCTGCAAGCTCCCAGGGATTAGTTTCAATTTCACAGTCCCCCTCTAGGGGGAAATCTTCTGATTGTTCTTTCTTTTAAAAACAATAGCAACAAAGTTTCTTTTTTAAGGTATTTTGTCCATATTTGTTCTTTTTAAAATGCAAAAGGAAACAATGGAATCACTATGTTTCTCTTCTTTTAACTATCTGTCAAAGACATTTGTTTCTGGTCAATGAGCTTCAAACGTCAATTCTGACACCCCGCTCCAGGATCAGGACGGTGGAAAATTACTTTGGTTTAAACTCACTTCTGCAGGTTTAAACAGCCCAAAAAAGATCCCCCTTCTTCTCCTGCTACCGAAGGGGGGTTCAGCGATTTTAAATGATGAAAACCAATCCTTTGAAAGTGATTTTTAAAGCTCTAGTTTATGTTGTCTTTGCTTTATTCTGGCTACAAGGAAACGGAAGGCTGACTTCCTGTTTAGACCTTAATAATAATAATAATAATAAATTTTATTTATATCCCGCCCTCCCCAGCCAAAGCCAGGCTCAGGGCGGCTAACAACAAACAAATAATCAAACAATCAAATAATCCAACATTCTAAAACATTTCATTATAAAAATTAATTAAAATCAAATTAATGGCAACCGTTAAGCAAAGTTCTGTGCAGGTTGCCAGAGGAGGGAGTCAGGCTGGGCCCTGACCAAAGGCCTGGTGGAACAACTCTGTCTTGCAGGCCTTGCGGAAAGATGTCAGGTCCCGCAGGGCCCTAGTCTCTTGTGACAGAGCGTTCCACCAGATTGGAGCCGCAGCCGAGAAAGCCCTGGCTCTAGTTGAGGCCAGCCTAACCTCTCTGAGGCCTGGGACCTTCAGGATGTTTTTATTTGCAGACCGTAGGTTCCTCTGTGGGGCATACCAGGAGAGGCGGTCCCGTAGGTACGAGGGTCCTAGGCCGTATAGGGCTTTAAAGGTTAAAACCAGCACCTTAAACCTGATCCTGTACTCCACCGGGAGCCAGTGCAGCTGGTATAGTACCGGATGAATGTGATCTCGCAGCGAAGACCCCATAAGGTTTCTGGAGTTTCTGGGTCAGTCTCAAGGGCAGCCCCACGTAGAGCGAGTTACAATAATCCAGTCTGGAGGTGACCGTCGCGTGGATCACAGTGGCTAGGTCAGGGCGAGAAAGATAAGGGGCCAACTGCTTAGCTTGGCGGAGATGAAAAAATGCCGCCTTTGTTATAGCTGTAATCTGCGCCTCCATAGAGAGGGAGGTATCGAAGATTACACCCAAACTCTTAACGGACGGTGCTGGCACTAATTGCACCCCGCAAGAGATGGGAGTTGCCCCCAATCCCATATCATCCCGTCCCAGCCAGAGGACCTCTGTCTTCGAAGGATTTAACTTCAACTGGCTTCCACGTAACCATCCAGCCACAGCTTCCAAACATCTGGTCAGTGTGTCTGGGGCCGAGTCAGGATGGCCATCCATCAACAGATAGAGTTGGGTGTCATCGGCATACTGATGGCAACCCAGCCCAAAACTCCGGACAAGCTGGGCGAGGGGCGCATAAAGATGTTTAAATGCATCGGGGAGAGTATTGCACCCTGAGGCACTCCACACACCAAGGAGTGGCGGGATGACAATTCCCCCCCAAGCGCCACCCTCTGTCCCCGACCGGAGAGAAACGAGCGCAGCCATTGAAGGACTGTGCCCTGGATCCCCACGTCGGCAAGGCGGTGGTCCAGGAGTTCGTGATCAACCATGTCGAAGGCTGCTGACAGGTCTAGAAGAATCAGCAGCCCCGACCCGCCTCGATCCAGCTGCCTGCGGAGATCATCTGTTAGGGCGACCAGAGCCGTCTCGGTCCCATGACCAGCGCGGAATGGATCCAGAGCCGATGTTTCATCCAGAAACCTACCAAGCTGTTCAGCAACCGCTCTCTCAATCACCTTACCCAGGAATGGAAGATTCGAAACCGGGCGGTAATTGGATAGATCTAAGGGATCTAATGATGTTTTCTTTAAGAGCGGGCGCACCACTGCCTCCTTCAATTCCCCTGGAAATATCCCGGTGCCAAGGGACAAATTGATGATATCCCCCAGGGGGGCCCGCACCTCGTCTGGACACGCTCTAATCAGCCAAGACGGGCACGGGTCAAGAGGACAGGTGGTGGGCTTTCCAGCTCGGAGGAGTCTGTCCACATCGGCTGGGGATATCCGATCAAAGTGGTCCAATACTGGACCCGAGGACAGTCGAGGGGCCTCCAGTTCCTTTATTGTATCCAAATTGGCAGGGAGGTCATGGCGGAGCAACAGGACCTTCTCCGCCAAAAAGCTCGCAAATGCCTCACAGCTGTGTGTCAGATTGTTATTTAAATTTGGCTGTCCTTCAAGGGACGTTAAAGACCTAATTATACTAAATAATTGCGCCGGGCGAGAGCTAGCGGATGCAATGGAGGCCGAGAAGTAAGACTTCTTAGCGGCCTTCACCGCCATCTCATAGGTTTTCATAAAAACCCTATAAGATGTTCTTGAGGCTCCGTCACGGGCACCCCGCCATACTCGCTCTAGCCGTCTGAGGTCCCGCTTCATTTTCCGAAGCTCCTCGGTAAACCAGGGAGCCCGGTTTCTGCGGAGTCGCAGAGGGCGCTTAGGTGCGATCTCATCTATGGCTGCCAGGAGCTGGGTATTCCAGCCCTCAACAAGCTCAGTCAATGAGTCGCCGGGGGAGCAAGGTCTCGCAAGGCTTGACGGAATCTATCAGGGTCCATCAGCCTCTGCGGGTGAGCCCAAATCGGCTCGCCACCTAAGCAGGGTGGGGGTGGAAAGTCAATCCTGGCTTTCAGAGCGTAGTGATCAGACCATGGCACCTTAATTGAAGGAGACATGATCACATCTATACCTACGCCAAAGATCAAATCCAGCGTGTGGCCTGCTTGATGTGTGGGGCCTGAAACAAACTGGGAGAGCCCTAGTGTTGCCATGGAAGACACCAGGTCCAGAGCCTGTGAGGAGGGAGTGGCATCAGCATGGATGTTGAAGTCCCCCAATACCAATAGGTTAGGGAACTCCAAGGCCCAGCCGGCCACCGCCTCCAGCAGGCCTGACAGGGTGGCTGCTGGTGCGCTAGGTGGCCGGTACACCAGCCAGACAGCCAAGCTCACCTCAGAGCCCCACACTAGGCCAACACATTCAATGCCGGGGATCGATGGCGATGGTAGAGCCCTGAAAGGACAATCTTCCCGGATTAATAATGCCACCCCTCCCCCCCGGCCCACAGTCCGTGACTGGTGGAGGACGGAGAAACCCGGGGGCGCCATCTCTCGTAAGGTAACTGTTGCCCCTTCGCGTACCCAGGTCTCCGTCACACAAGCCAGGTCGACCCCCTGCGAGGTAAAGAAATCTCGCAGAGTGGCGGTTTTGTTGCCTATAGACCTGGCATTGCACAACACCAGTGACGGAGGTGAGTAATCCTTGCTCACCCTACCCTCGTCCCTCGGGATGGGGCGCAGATTGGAAGGGTACGAGCATATCCGTATCTCGATCCCCTTCGCCTATAACATCTGCCCCCACCACCATACCTCCCTCGCCCCTCCACGGTAGCAATCCCAAGCCTCATACAAGCCTCCATTTACAAAATAGCAAAACAAACCAAACCGAAAACAATTCTACCTAAACAAAACCAATCCCCACCCCAAACCACAATAAAACGGAACAAAATAAAAATACATAGATAAAAACCACTGTTCACGGTGGTACAATAAAGTAAAAAGTAAAAGCAC